GATGAACATCGTATCCTCCAAAATTTCCGACAGGTCTTTTCTCAGCGACAATAGGGATCTTGCTGGCTTGGCGGCGCTAATCGGAGCTAGAGTGACATCGATTTGGTTTTCTACTTGATCGTAGTCAATCCAGGCCTGCATCGGTTGACCACTGATGAGATTCAAATTCCGTAAGTTTCCGCCTGAGTCATAACACCCGCCGGAGCTGCTACCAGTGAATCCAGACCGTTGATGTCGACGGCGACGTGATTGTTATTGATATCGCCGAACTCGCTGCTGTAGATTGTGTCGAGCTCCACGGCGAAGACGTGATTGGTGAGATTGCCATTGTTGGACTCGTTGAAAAGGCCGAGGTACTGGCTAGGGAGGGAATCAGGGAGGCCTGTAATTAGTCCTCTTCCGTTCGGTGTTCCAGCTCACCTTCCGTTTATTATTTGTTCTCATTGCCGGAGTTGGGTTTGATTGGCGAGTTGCAAAGATCTCTGGTGAAGAATGGAAAAACATGACGGAGAAGAAGAAAGCTCCTTATGAAGAGGAAGGCGTTTCTGCATTGGAATACAGGGGGGAAGGGATGGATGAGATGGAGTTCACGGAGGCGGAGAGCAACATGAACAATTTGGTCCAAGTTTTGACCTAATTATTGTAGAGCTCAGTATATCAATCGCATTTTTTTTATGTATTTTAGTTTATTATTCTGTTTATGATATGCATTTAGGAGTTATCGGTATGCAGATCACTAGTCTTTAATAAACACAACAGAAACCTTCTAATGCAGACCACAAACGTGATAAAAAAAACCACAAAAAAGCAAACCAGAAACCTCGTAATGCATACTACAAATTCTCTAAAACAAACAAGCAACACCACAAACCAAACCACAAATATTTTCAAAGCACACAAGAAACCTCATAATGCAAACCAGAAACACGTTAAAGCAAACCAAAAAAACAAACCAGAAACGTCCTAATGCAGACCAAAAATCTACTAAAACAAATCAGAAACCCCGCAAAGCAAACCACAAAATTTTAAAAAACACACCAGAAACCTCATAATGCAAACCACAAACACGATAAAGCAAACCCCAAAAACAAACCAGAAACGTCCTAATGCAGACCAAAAATCTATTAAACCAAACCAGAAACCCCGCAAAGCAAACCACAAAATTTTTGAAAGCAAACCAGAAACTTCTCAATGCAAACCACAAACACGATAAAGCAAACCACAAACACGATAAAGCAAACCACAAAAGGCATACAAAAATATGAGAAACCAAACCATAAATCTCACAATGCAGACCATACATCCGGTGGTCGTTGACCGTTGACCGGTCAACGAATACCGTTGACCGAACTCCGATGACCGTCAGTGAGCAGATTCCGACGACGATATGCATATTCCGGCCCCGATGACTAGATTCCGACGCTGATAGGCATATTCCGGCCCCGATCACTAGATTCCGACGCCAATAGGCATATTCCGGCCCCGATGACTAGATTCCGACGCCGGTAAGCATATTCCGACGCCGGTGAGCATATTCCGGCGCCGATGAGCATATTCCGATGAGAAAATAGCATATTCCGGCGACGAAAAGCATATTCCGGTGATCGGCGACCAAATTCCGGCGATCGATGGCCGAATTCCGGCGACCAGAATTTTTGGCCGAAAATAAAAAAATAATTTTTTTATTTTTCTTCATAATGACAATTATACTCCTGCTTTGATTTTACACTAGGTCAACTCAACTAATAAAAAGTTATCACAATCCTAACTTCCTATTGGTTGGAGAATAGTGTTGTTACAATAACAACAAAAGGAGTGTTGTTTTAGTATATAGTCCCTTAATTCTGAAACAAGTTGAATGGCGACAAAAATCTTCTCGGAATTACAGTCATTTCATGACACCTATTCCAATTAATTATCAACTAATCCGATAAAATCAGCCAACTAATTTCGATAATCCCTAACTAATTTCCCTGTTAATGACAAATGCAAATGAAGGTTCAGTTTTGGATGTAAGCAATTTGGTGTGTCCTCTTTACTATCTATAAAAGCTAACCATGATTCTTATTTCCTACCACTGGAAACATATCTCAAGCTCCCATCAGTTTCTCTCATTGTTTAACAGCCACAATATTTCAGAACGCCTCAAATTCGCCATCATCATGGTTCTTCCAAAAAGCCTAGTAACGCTAATGGTGAGCAAATGGAGGAAGATCGCTGTCACGAGAAGAATGGGAAGTAGTGTTTCTTCTTCGCCGTTGAGCGCATCGTTTTCTTCTTATGATAGAAGGGGTTACTTTGTGGTCTACACCGTGGACAAAACCCGTTATGTGTTGCCTCTGAAGTATTTGAAAAGCGAGGTGGTCGTGGAGATATTGAGGATGTCTGAAGAAGAATTTGGATTCTCAACCGATAAACCAATTGTATTACCGTTCGATACTATTATGATGGATCAAATTATTTCTTTGCTCTCGTCGCAACAAGATGGAGATGGAGGCATAGAGCAAGTACCGATAAACGACATTGCTACGGCCAAGGGTTGCTCATCGTTAAACCAGAGTTCTTTTATCGCACATCATCACTCTTGCGGAAGCTTATGTGCTCAATAATAAGGTTGATTAATGATCAGTAACTTATTTAGTTCTTATCGCCATGGCCACTGCTTTTGAGACTTGTACGTACTATTCATGATGAGGACTTTACCTAATTAACTAATTAAGTACTATTGAAATCATGTGCTGTTGTTTATCATGTTTTTGGACAGTACATGTGGATATATATGATGTCAACATTTTACCAAAAGTGTACATTTTACCAATGTGTTGTCTCATAAGCCATGAATTAGGGTTGGTAGTTGGTAAATGATCAATCAATTTAGATATAAAAGTCCATTCACATGACAAAATAATTACGGAATACAGTTTTCCATAGTAATAGGTTTGTTTAATTAATTCATAATTTGATATATAAAAATAACTATCCCTCCAAAATCTTTACGTAATATATTTGTATTTTACGTAACGGTTATAAAATAATGTAGCGTAAATCTTCTGTAATGTGTGGTCTAATAACAATGCAATCAAAAGCTAGCTTTAAAGCGCAAAGCTTGAGCTTTTACGCTTTAGATCCCCTGTATATTGTATCTTTTGTACCAAAAGTGTTTTATATCAAAATCCTAGCAAATCCCAAGTAAAAGCACTCAGGCACACTGTCGTTTGCTTCGTGGATTTGAAAAATGAAGGTTTTGGTAAAACTTGGGTTTTGTAAAACCATGGATATATGAGGGTTTTGGGTTCACCATGCATGGACTTGAAAAATACCATTGTTTGTTTCATAGATTTTGTGATGGAATTGGTTAATTATATTTGTATGTATGAAGTGAAATTTACCTTTATTGTCCTCATTGGTATTAGAAGAGAAATGAAATAGGAGGAGTAGTTTGGTTTTAAATGATGGACTTCAAAGTCGATGATCAATTCCCACCTAAATAGGTAGAACTTTCAAGTCTGTGGGGTCCACGAATTTGGGCCCTTAAGTTCGTGGTACCCACAGATTTGGTGCTCCTAAATGCATGAAGCAAACAATGTATTTTGGACAAAGTCCATAATGGATCTAAATCCCTCACCAAATCCATTACCAAATCCATCAAGCAAACAAACTATAAAAGTCTTAGAAGCTAGCTTAAATAGTTTTTCTAGATATTTGATAAACTCGTTTTAGGACCATATTGGACGGTCTTGCTGGACAAAAATGAGAAAACAACACAACTTGTTTGTTTTTTAAGCCGGGTAATCCTTCCAATCCTTTCATTTAAGAATATCACATTCCTAATTCAAATTTTTTCAGTGTAAATAATTGTTATTGTTGTCTTTGTTTGAAGAGACACGGGTTCAAATCTTGATGTTGATATTTTTTATGTGAGATAAATAATTAATTGTAAAGACAAAAATGTCATTCCTATTTTCAGTCTGGTTGCAGGAAATTTTAAATGGAAAAAAATACGCAAAAGTGTACTATATATTATTTGGGGATATAAATAACTAAATATACAATACTTGCACACACAAAAAAAACAAAAAAATAGACAACAGAATTCAAATTAAACATATAATTAAGTTTGATATACAACTAGTATATGATTCTTAAAAAAATAAATAATATATGTTGCATATTGCTATAGTCACTAACATGAAAGGAAAATGGTTTCTCGCACTGTGAAACCCAAGCAGTATTCACTAACATAGAAGAAAAAACCTAGGTGTGGGGTTTGTGTTGTTGTTGGAAATAACTATGTATAGTGTTTGGAATCAGAACTAAGGATTCTCTACTACACCTTGGAAATCATTATATACCCTCGTGCAGCCTTGTGGGTTACAAGGCAGATTTGTTATTATTTGTTAAATTCACAATAGATTTGTTATCGTTGGTTAACAAATTTGTACTTCTAGGATTAATCTTGTGACCAACGGTTTACTGTTAGAGACAAACTAGATATTTAAAATATATGACAAATGTTCTAATTTCTAACAAGATCGTTACTATATATACAACAAAAGAAACAAATTAGGTTCGATAAAAAAGAAACTAATTAGGTACACTTAGTTCCAATTAAGTATGTTGTCAAAAAAAAAAAATAGTTCCAATTAAGTATCTAATTTTTTCTCGGTAAAATTTTAAGTATCTACTAATCCAATATATTTCGATTATCCCTAACTTTCCCTGTAAACGAGAAACACAATTGAAGGTTCAGTTTTGGAAGTAAGCAAGTTGGTGTGTCCTCTTTGCTATCTATAAAAGCTATCCATGATTCCCATTACTAAGCATCTCGAAAAACGTTGGAAATAAATTAAACACTTCTCAAGTTCTCATCATTTCCCTTTGTGTTTCTTAACCATCATAAGATTTCAAAACAGCTCAGATTCGCCATTATCATGGTTCTTCCCAAAACCCTAGTAGCCTTAATGACGAGAAAATGGAGGAACATCGGTGTCGTGAAAAGAATGGGGAGTAATGTGTCTTCTTCTCTGTTGAGAACGTCATTTTCTTCTTATGACATAAGGGGTTACTTTGTGGTCTACACCGTGGACAAAACTCGTTATGTGTTGCCTCTAAAGTATCTGAAAAGTGACGTGATCGTGAAGATACTAAGAATGTCTGAAGAAGAGTTTGGATTCTCAAGCGACAAACCAATCGTACTGCCGTTTGACAATTCTGTTATGGATCGGATAATTTCATTGTTGTTGTACTCACAGCAAAGTGCAGATGAAGTGCTTGAGAAAGTACCGGTAAACTCTATGGCTTCGGCCAAGGGTTGCTCATCGCTAAATCAGAGTTCTTTCATCCCGCATCATCACTCTTGCCAAAGCTTATTTGTTCAATAATTAGGTTGATTATTGCCTAATATTGGGTTACTTGATTCGTATGTGGCTATGTCCATTGCCTGCTTTTGAGACGGTTGAACAAAAGCAAGCAGTCCACCAATGCCCTAGCTTCTTCATTGTAATAACAGCTATAGAGCGATTACAGAGGAGAATAATTAATGTGTTATGGATGTCAATTAATGTAATTTGATTCTTCTATTTAATATTTATGAAGACTTAAGCAAAGTACTAAAAAAATAAAAATGTTGTCGTCATACTCGACTCAACCAAAAAAAATGTAAGAAATGTTCTCATGTGCTTTATGCAAGTCGTCTAGGCGGTCTTTGCGTCACCTCTCACTCCTCTGATTTCTTACCCTTAGAGGTGTGATTACATCCCTTTCATGAACCACACTTTTCAACCATAGTTACATAAGTACTTGTCTAGGGCCGGGGAATTTTATTTCTTAGGGTTTGAATCACCTCTTAACAACTGAATTGGCCCTCCATTCTGAATAAATCAACTTCGTCACAATTCTTCCAAACTCTTCTTACCCAAGCATAATCAATGAAAACGGGATTTCGGGTTCCGAAACTCTGCATTGGTAATTACTGAAAACTAGGGAACTTTGAGCCGGGCTACGCACCGGATTGTAGTGATGGTAATTTCAACCTGAACTGTTTTACCCGATCTGTTTGGCATGTTTTGGGTGGGTCCGACCCGTCCTGCTTACGGCAGGTCCGATCCGTTCCGTTTACGGGGCGGGGCGGGCATGGGTACCTCTCGGCTCTCGTCGACCTGACATGCCTTGACCCGCTCCATTCTCGACCCATTCTTGCCTAAATTATATGTAATTTTAGTCAAATTACTTAGAATTTTCTTCATATTGCATCATATTTTAGCTATAATAAAGTTGTAAATAAGTGAAAACCTCAATTTCTCCAATACTTTAACTACATTGTATAATATTATGGTTTATTTCTTTGTCTTTTAATGAAAATAATGAATATTTTTAAAGTTTTTCATATAAATTACATACTCATTGGGTCGACCTGCCCCGACCCGCGCCCCATGATAAATTACCCGACCTGGACCCAACCTGTCACGGGGCGGGTATGGGTATGGATATCGAGATACCCGGCCCGGACCTGCCCCATTGCCATTCCTAGCGGCTAGGGATGGATTCTGGGCTTTACGTTGGAAAATTTGTTGTGTAAGTTTGACACTACAAACCCACTAACACCCTGATCTGCCTCGACTCAGTTTGTCTACATGGTCAGTTTAGAGTCGGATCATCTTTTGACCCTATAAGGGTCGGGTAGGGTCGAATCAGATTAGGGTCTGGTCACTTTTTGACCCTGTGACCATTAGCAACAACTAATGATATGAAATTTCACATACCAATACAATTGACTTATTTTTTAAATTTTAAGAATTTAGGTACTAAATTGTAAAAAGAATTTGGGTACCAAAATATAATTTTACCATCAAAATTCAAGCACTTATATGTAAAAGAATTAGGTACTAAATTGTAAGAAAAAAATAATTTTGGGTAACAAACGTAATTTGTAAAAAATCAGTGTGTTGATAAAGGTCGATCCACTGACCCGGTCCTGCCCGACACCGCCCAACCCTAGTGGATTAAACAGGATTAAGAAGAAAACAGGGTCGAAATAGGTCAGATATAAATCTTGACTCTTCAGAGGCGGGTCATAATAATTCTCAGTCCTACAAGTAAAGTAATAGACTCTTCAAATTAACTCTGCAATTTTGTAAGATGGAGAGAATGATATTTATACAGATCTTATTCTTGTTCTTGAAATGTAAACAATTCATCCATCTCACGTGTTGAGCAATAAGTGTCAGGTTAGAAAAGTAAATGACAGTACGTGATTTTCGTAACCATTTCATGACTTTAATACTTACCTAGAAATGGCATTGGTAACCTTACTAAACCGATTGCTAATAATGCTCGGGTTCAATAATAATGGTTTAGAGGAATCGTTTGTAATAATACAGTGTACTCTTTATGTACTATGTATATGTGCGGGTCAGATCAAGTCCTTAAACCCCCTATCTTAAGGAGGATCTTATACCTATTTCAGCCAATAGGAGAAGGAGGGAGAGAAACATTAGTAATCATAAGCTAACTACCTACAAGAGTACGCAACGATGAATCAAAGATGGATGAATTTGGGAATAATCTCGATGGAATTTAACGAACTAAATCAGCAACTTCAACACGAAAAGGGAAGAGGCTAATCTAGGTAGAACTACCACGAGATCAAGAGTGAATATCCTGATCTCTAGGTCTGCAATTCTCGGACAAACAGCCAAGAACCAAAAGCTCGCAAGCTAGAAAACTCCTCGGAGTAATTTCGATTAAACTTCAACGTGTGTTGTTACAACTCAAAGCTTGAATATTTATAACCAAGAAACCTACTTACAATCCTAAACAAACAAGGCAACAATTCTGAATCAAACAGGGAAAAAGAAAACGTTTAACAATCAAAACTTGCATCCTAAGTAACTAACTTCTCTCACAAGTAAACTGTTCCAAAACAGCCTTCCCAAAACTGTCTCAACACTTAGGAAAATTCCAGCCTTGTTCGTATTAACTTGACCCGACCTTTGAACGATTTGTTTGAGATGATTCAAGGGTGGAATTGAGATCATATCAGGCCCCCCTGTTGAAAAAGCTTTGTCCTCAAAGCTTGGGCCTTTTTCTCCTCAAAAGACCTACAAAATTGATCCCAAACTGGATCCGAAAAAGACTGCTCATACAAAGGTCTCACCTGCAAATTTGCAGTTTCCGGCGACGGCGGACTTTCCGTCAAGGATTCAAAAATTGGGAATGTCCTCTCATCGCCTTCTCGTCCCAAATTGTTGCTTGGAATCGGTTCGTCTAGCGCCCATGAGTTGATTCCAGCCATCCACCAACTTCGATCACGACCCAATCGACTCCCATCGCGATGCCTGCGTTTCCCGCCACCGGAGATTTTAAATTCCCCAGAATCCGGTGACATGAACCCAGATTCCGGCGAGCTGTTCTGAAATTTGGGGCTTTCTTCTACGCACACCCCCAAGTCAAATTCGCGCTTCGGACACCTTCCATGGGATCCTAGGAAGCTTCTCCAAGCAGCAGATTGGTCAGAATCATTCCCAAACATCACAACCAATTCGCCCAATTTTTGCTCGTCGGCCGGCTTGTGGGAGGGCACATTATCGAATTCGGGAACCGCCGAGCCAGCTTGATTCGTCGAGTGTTCGCCGGTTTTACACGTTTCTGGGCGAGTTTCCAACATGTTGGAGTCAACTGCTCGTCTCGATTCATCTCCAGCTGATCCACCCAATTCAGGGCTCTTCAGGGGAGCCCGAAAACATAGGCGGCGGACTCTGCTTTGCCGTGGAATGGTCCTGCCAGCAAGGACGGTCAACAGATACCGTCGAGCCAGCAGTTGGTTCTCCTGTCCTCGTACCGATGGGGCAGTGCCCGATTCCAATCCCCTCCTATCCCACTTCGATGCCATGTGACGTTGATCTTCTCGAACCTCGTCCGGCGTCAAAGGCTTGAGAATCATCTTCTTGCCCCCGTGCTCGAAGGTATAAATATTCGTTCGACCATGATGGGATGCCTTCCGATCGAATTGTCACGGTCTTCCCAAGACCAAGTGGGCTGCCTGCATTGGTATAACGTCGAATAGCAGTTCATCGCGATAATTGCCAATCGAGAAAGGGATCCTTACTTGCTTGTTTACTTTAATTGCAGCGTGGTCACTGAGCCAATGAAGGGAATATGGTTCTGCCCGGGGAACCGTAGCTAACCCAAGTCTTTTAACGACGTCAAGACTAGCCACATTCGCACAACTTCCCCCATCAATAATCATTGTCAAATTCTTTCCTTGAACCTGGCATCTAGTGTGAAATAGGTTGCTTCTTTGGTCCATTTCAGTAGAATCCTCCTCCTGACTTGCAAAGGGTCGACGCACTACAAACAATGGCCCCTTGTCCGCCTCCATCTCTTCTCCTTCCAAGTCACCAACAGGCTTTTCCTCGGTCTCCTCCTCGTCTTCAGAGTAGTACTGACCATCTCGGAGTACCAAGACCTTCTGATTGGCGCATTGATGCGCTTTGTGGCCATAGCCGTGGCATTTGAAGCATCTAATACTACCACTAGAAGTCCCTTTCCAATCCTGGGTTGCTGTTGGAGTTTGCCTCACAGGTTTGTTGGGCAATTCCATTTTGAAGTCAGGTTCAGGGACTGGCTTGCTTGCTGGAGTAAAGCGCCTGTTGGCACCTTGCTTCAACTGCTTCTCAACCTTCACCGCCAGCTGCACAACATCTTCAATGTCCACGAATGGAAACAATTCCACCTGATTCTTAACTTCTCGATTAAGGCCCTGCAAAAATCGACTGATGGTGGCTTCTTTGTCCTCTCGAATATCGGCCCGAATCATAAGAAGATCCAGCTCCCTGTAGTATTCCTCCACGCTTCTGCTTCCCTGCCGAAGTGATTGCAGTGTCTCGTGGAGATCACGCTGATAATACGAGGGCACGAACCTTTCCCTCATCAAACTTCTCATCTCCAACCAAGTAACAATGGGAGGAAGACCAATTCGTCGTCGCATAATACGTACCTGCTCCCACCAAGCAGCTGCGTACCCGCCAAATTCATACGAAGCAAGCGTAACCTTCTGCTCCTGAGAATAGTTATGACAGTCAAAGAATAAGATTACTTTTCGTTCCCAATCCAAATATTCAGCCGGATTGAGGCCTCCTTGAAATGAAGGGATACTGAGTTTAATCCCCTTCAACTCGCCAACACCCCCTGTTTCCGGCGGACGTCGATCGTGATCACGGAATTCGTGGTTTGGCTCGCGATGATGGGTGCCCGTGAGAGCCAGCTGCCGTTCCAACTTTCTAATTCGCTCGGTGAGTACCTGAGGGCTTTGATCTCCGTCGTCATCAAGGGTTGTCTCATGTTTCGTCGTGGATTTTGGAGATTTTGGCTCTGTTGTCGT